CTTTATTCGTTTCTGCTTATTTTCAACAACGATCAAAATGCTGGTACTGTCTTCAACCGATTGATTACCTGATTGTATTGTATATGATATACTGTAACTGTACCGTTTCTGCGTTGTCGAGACACACTTGCCACGTACTAAAACTTCTAATTGAAAGCTGACCTTCTCACTGTAAAATGTTTGGTTTTAAAAATGGGCGTGGCTTTCTGTCCAAAACGTAACAAAGCTGCTACATTCTTGCCGATGATTTTGTGCTTCAAGCCACTGAATTATAATATTTTCTTTATAAGATCAATTTAGACCGACACAGAACTTACAAATATATTTATTTGCCTTGAGAAGCCTAGCCTCTCTCAATTTTTCTGCGTCTACAGAGAGGTTGCGTTGAGGGTTTTCGCGTCTGATGTTATTGAATTTAACATTACTAGCCAATTGTACCATGGTGTGGTGACGGTGCCGCAACATCAGTCGCACAGCAAGTCCAAAACCGCGACCGGCTTAGGCGGTCTGTCGAATTTTTCGCTTGCTGGATTTTGTGGAAAGTTCCGCTGTGCAAATGTTTGTATAACGAAAAAAGTGGTCAAAAGTTTTAGCGTGGTAGCAGGAGTTCGAGTTGGCTTGCGTCAATGGTGAACGACACATGTCGGACCACAAGTCATCGGTTGACGAGAGCATAGCACCGATTCCGCTTCGAAACTGAAAGCTAAAGCACAACTGTCGAAAGTGCGGGATCTGCTCGACGAGTGCCAAATGCCTCTAGAGTGGCACCGCTTTTTATAACATCCTTTTATCGGTTGGATTAGACGATCAAGTCTAAGACTGACGCCTTGTCGATTTGTACAATCTATGAAGCCGTTGCTTTACAGTTTGTACCTTACTTCATGACTCTAAGGTCTACTTTTAGAAAGGTAATTAGAAGCAGTTGTGCGGAAGGTGTTGTTAGGACTTCATGCTTAATCGGCATAGGCTTGAACCGCGGATATGGCAGCACGATTGTAAATTTGACACAGAACGAAAATTTCTTCAGAACATAATCAGCTGTTGCATTAAACATGGTTTTATTCAAATCTAGATCAATAGTAAATGGCGGCG